TCTTACGACATTTCTTTTTCTCCAACGATGTTTTCTTTTTTTAATTGATCTATAGTTATAGAAGTCTCAGAAGTCCACGTGACACCTTTCTTAGAAAATGGTTTGTTACCTAAAACAAATGAAAAAGGAAAGATGTTAAAAAAAGAATATCGATACGTATAAATATTATAAATATATTAAATTATTAAATACACATTGAAGAAAAGAAAAAGACAAACCTCCCCTTGGGATATATATTTCAGGATTTTCATCATGTTCAAAAGAATCTTCATCAGTTGTTCTTGATGAACAACAACCCATTCTCAAAGAAAGAAAGGAAAAAAAAAAAAAAAAAGAGAAAAATCTGATTGGATAAAATCAAGACTAACAGCAACAGGAATAAATCAAGCGAAAATTGAAAAATTGAGAAAAAGAAATTACCTAATGTTTAATAATAAGAATATTTAACATGATGGTTTTTTTGTTGGTAATTACAATTAATAAGAAATCGGGTATTTTTTTTTAATAAAAGAATCATACAATTTTTTTTTTTTTCAAATACTTAACAACTAGGTCAATTAATAAAAGAAAACATCGTTGGAGAAAAAGAAATGTCGTAAGAGGTAAAAAAATTCTTCAAGGAAATACTAAAAAAAAAAATAATGAGGGATACAAAAAAGGTCAGCAGATTAGAAAAAGACAAAAATGGTAAGTAACAACTTTTAAATAGCCAATCAAGGAATTGAAGATCGATAAAAACAAACACAAATTCAAACTTGTGATTTAAACAACCTTCTCATTGTTGTGAAACACATTTAATCAAAATTTTAATCAGTGATTGGATAGTTTTGAATAGATAGATATGATATCAAATGTGCGTAAATACGTAAGAAATTCTTTTTATAAAGATCTTCAAATTTTTCAGTTATTTCAGATGAAAATGAGTATATGGATTTTAGGAGTGCATATAATTAAGAGAGAGGAAAGAAAGAAATTAGAGTTACGTTGAATTGAATAGCGCTTAAAAATGATAAAAAATGGGAATTTATAATTACATTGTGGAATAATTAAAGATTATACCAACGGTATGTTGGTAATCGTGCCTGCAGTAGTTTTTTAAAAAAATTTTACAAAAAGCCTTTGTACTGTAATATAAGTAGAGTTGTCAAAAAAAAGAATAACTATCG